AGCCCCACCTACCTCACAGGGTGTCTGTCGTGGGGAGGGGAAGGGAAAGGAGTTTGTAAGCCGCTCTGAGACTCCAAGTGAAGGGCGGGGTATAAATCCAATCTCTTATCTCTTCATAGTGGGGGCGGCTCCTAGTTGAAAGCCTGGTGGAAGAGCTCCATTTTGCAGGCCCTGTGAAACTGTGCAAGGTCCTGCAGGGCCCTGATCTCTTCCGGGAACTCATTTGTTGTACCAGGTTTCTTTCATTGGACAATCTTCTGTCTTCCAAATAGATGCAAACTGTATTTTTGCTCCTGTTACCAAATATCTGAATAATTCTTGTGATGTTTTTTCTACATTATCTGGGATAAATCTCAGTAGCATTGTCTCTGGATTCAGTGGAAATTTAATTTTAAGAATTTTCTGAATCTCTGCAAGTATTTCAATCCAGTATTTCCTTGTTTTTTTGCTAGCCCACCAAATGTGCCTTCTACCTCCTTGTATTTTCAGCAAGTTCCTTGTAGTTCTTGTCTATTTTGTGAATGTCCATTGGAGTAAAGTAACATTGGAAAAACATCTTGTACCAGTTTTCTGTTAAGGCTTGGCAAGCAGTAAATTTTCTACGTTTCATCCATAAAGTCTCCCAGTGTGAAAGGGATATCTCTTTACCGACATTATGCATCCATTTTATCATGCATATTTTAACTTGTCCCATCTCCATATTATACTGGAGTAATAATTTATAAAGCTGTCCTAGCAAATGATCTTTATGTTGTGTGATGATTTTTTAGAACTTAGTCAAATCTCTTATTCCTTCTCTTTCTGTGAAAAGATCTTAAGTCTGGAGATTAATCGCAGGTAAACTAGCCACTAAATCTTCTTCCCTTCTTGAAACCTTTGCCAAAATTTGATTTTACCTTTGGTGTTTCAAACACTCAACAACGTTCCTAGATAAAGTCCAGTTTATTGAGGTTAGTACTGGTGGTACCATGAATTCTTGAGTCAGGAATAACGAAAAGCAAAATGGTGGTTACAGATACACCCCCTTCAAACCAAACCCCCTGATATCACAAACCCAATAAGCAAGCACCTACAAGTGCGGGCAAAAAGCAGCAGTTAGATTCCCAGCTGGAAAAGCGGACAAGGGAGAGCCCAGCCTTCAAGGCCACTAGGCAGATAGCGAAGGCAGCGGAGACGCGGGGGTGGAGGAGGGTGCCGGAGGAGATGGAGGAACACAGAAGCCAGACACCCCTCCCACATTCTAAGGTATAGCAGCTTCAGCTGACATCTTTATATGTTAAAAAGTTATTATGTCTTCTCTCACTTTTATTATACTATGCATATATTGGTGTCATAGGGCTAATTCTTATTTTTAAGGATCCCCAAGTCTGGAGTAAACTGTCTCTAATTAGATGGTTTTTGTCTTGTCCTTTACTTTTCGAAGTTGATTTTTCAATCCGAAGTAGGTAATGCATTCCATTCTCTAGCCCCACAGCTTCTATTTTTATTAATCTATTATTTGCCTTTTTAATACACTCTGCAATCCATACTTATTTGGCTGCTTGATGGTATAACTTAATGTTGGGAACTGCCAATCCTCCTCTTTTTTATCATCTTGTATCACTTTAAATTCAATTCTTGGTTTTTTACCATTCCAAAAACATTTATGAACATTTTTGTGGATAGTCTCTAAGCTCTGCCTGGAGTTGGCTGCTGAGTGTGATAATAGTAGTGGAATGGGGACTTGCACAGTCTGGTTCATTTTTGGAATCTTTTGGCCTGCTCACCCTTGAGGATGTTGACAGGATCCTGACAGCTGTGAAGCCAACTACTTGCTCTTTGGATCCTTGTCCCTCGTGGCTGGTAAAATCATGCCACGAAGGTAAATGGTCCTTTGAGACAGATTGTTAATTTCTCTCTCTTACAGGGCTGTTTCTCCAGTTCCCTTAAGGAGGAAATTGCTATCCTTAGATAAAAAGGAGCTGGCTAATTACCTTCCAGTGTCTAATCTACCTTTTCCAGGGAAGGTAACTGATGGAGCAGTGGCTGAGCAGCTCCAGGTTTTCCTGGATGAGACATCTGCCCTGGATACTTTTCAATCAGGATTCAGGCCTGGCTTTGGAACAGAGACACTACTAGTTGCTTTGGTTGATGATCTCCATTTACATCTGGATAAAGGCATGCTAGCCTTGTTGATCCTTTTGGATATATCAGCAGCCTTCAATACAGTTGATCATTTTGTCCTGATTGACTGCCTTGCCTCCCTGGGGGTAAGGGGCAGTGCCCTTAGTTGGTTCTCCTTGTTCCTCCAGGGACGCTCTCAGAGGGTCACTATCAGGGAGGAGAGGTCTTCTTAATGAGACCTGAATTGTGGGGTACCAGAGGGTTTGATTCTCTCTCCAATGTTACTTAACACATATATGCACCCTCTTGCTGAGATCGTCAGGGGGTTTGGAGTTGGGTGCCATCAATATGCTGACGACACTCAGCTCTTCTTCCTGCTGGATAAGCAGCTGGTAGCAGGGCTCTCGGCACTATCCTGGTGTCTGGATGCTGTAGTCCAGTGCTTAAGGACAAGTTGGCTGAAGTTGAATCCATCCAAGATGGAAGTCATGTGGCTGGGGAAGACTGAACTGCTAGCTGGAGGGTCACTCCTGAGACTCAATACTGTCTAGTTGACAGCTGTAGACTCTGTAAAGAGTCTTTGGGTGTGGTTGGATTCTGCGCTATCATTGGATAAAAAAGTGTCCATGGTAGTGTGGTCAGCATTCTTTCACCTGTGCCAGGCTTGCCAGCTGGCTTATTTGTCTGGGTCAGACCTTGCCACATTGATCCATACAACGGTCACCTCCAGATTGGACTACTGCAATTCACTCTACATAGGGCTATACAGATCTTTGCCCACCCAAGCCAGTCCAGGAATGGGAGGGAATCCTGTACTTTTCAGTACATTAAACAACAAACCATGAGATGGACTATATCCTCTCTGGTTTTCAGAACAATGTGCCACCAGAACCTCTACAGTAGTTCCCCCCAACCTGAGATTAGAGGTCAAACTCTCAGTTGGCATCTGGAACTTAACACATTAACAACTCATTCCCACAGATGCACACTTAATCTTACAAAGGTAATTTATGGTGAGCAGAAGACACAAGATTCAGACTTGGAATTCAGGTACAACATCAGAGACCATTTAGAAACAAGACTACTTTTTATCCAGTACAGAGATTAGCATAGATTACCAAAGATTACAAAATAACAAAAACTAGGGCAATCTGCCTTAATGACACATTAAAGATATTCATAATTACCAATGACGTGTCCATATTCCAAGAGTGTCCAAGGTATACAGTCCAATTAGACACCAAGGGATTTTGAAGAGAAATCCCATCTTTGCACCCCTGCGCTCCAGTTCACAAAGCGACTCTTTGTCTCTCACGAGGCAGCATTTCCAGGTGCAATAAAACAGACAATGACAAGAAGGGAGAGCTGAGAGCAGAGAGCTCCCTCTCCTAGGAATCAATCAATTATACCCCAATTCCATTAATGAGCAGTTGTGGCCATCAGCCAATCATGAGTGGGCATGGGATGTGCCCAATTGTTGGTTGTCATGGCTGTGTGTGGGGATAGGCTAGAAGTTTGGAGACCACGCCTGCAGTCACATGACCCAAACTCCAGCTTCTCCATCGTCTACATGACGATTCGCATGTGAGCCAGAAAGTGGTGCCATGAGGTCTGGCTTTTGGCATGGAAGTGTGAAAGAATGTGGGTTTATGGCATGGCTATTGAGGCATGTTATCAGAAGACATCACAGGAGAAGGCATGTGGATATAGAAAGCAGAAAGCAATTTTTCTATACAAGGGCTATCCTTGAAAATGTGTTGGAAACTGCAGGGTGTCCAGAATGCAGCTGCCAGGCTTCTGACTGGAACATCACGGTCAGCTCATAAACCTTTAAAGCCCTTAACAGTTTGGGACCCTCATACCTATGGGACCACCTCTCCCATTACAACCCTCCCGTGCTCCCTTCAATAATTGTTTAGGGGTCTCTTGCAGGTGCCTGACCCCAGGATGGCTCAGTTAGCTGTTACCACAGGGTCTTCTCAGTTGTGGCCCCTACCCTGTGGAATGCACACTCAGATAACACTTGTGCCCTGCCAGACTTGTTTAGTGTCTACAGGGCATGCAAAGTTGAGTTATTTAGGTTGGCCTTTGGTGGGTAACCATGTCTTTGGGCTGTTTTAATAGTAGTGTGATGACAGACACACATATTTTAATATTTTAATGTTAATATTTTACATTTGTTATTTGTTTTATGTTGTTTATGCCTTATTGGTTTTAATGTTGTAAGTTACCACAAAACCCTTTGGGTAAGTGGCCACTAAAAATCAAATCAATCAATAAATAACCACTACACCAAACTGGCTTTCATGGGATGGCTGTTTATGAACAGTAGCAACAAGCTGAGCTTGGGTGAGTGATACTAGTCAGGTGGTTGCAAATAGATGGTGGTTTCTGGCAGGCCTGATCCTAGAGAGTTCTGCATCAAAGCCCAAAATAGACCTGGAAAGGGCCCTGCTGACCCATCCTTTTACTGACAGAAACTAAGGCTTGAAGGCTGGCAATATTGTTGTGGTTGCCTAGCAGTGGTAACAATAGCCATTTCTTAAAGATTTAGGTGCTGGCTTTGTGGTGGTGGGGCTTAGATTTCAGTTTTTTATGCAAATTTTAGATTTTGCTCAGGTTTGTCAAAAGATCTGTCTTGTCTGTTCAGGATTTAATTATCCACAGATGGAGTGACATTGAAATATATATATTACTTTTTACTCTAGGCAATTGATTAAAAAATGTAATCTTTGTATGATGGCAATTTTGTTTAAAGAACATAAGAACATAAGAGATGCCAATGTTGGATCAGGCCAAAGGCCCATCCAGTCCAACACTCTGTATCCCACAGTGGCCAGAAATACCAGTGCCATCAGGAGGTCCACCAGTGGGGCCCCCCCCCTCCCCCTACGCAGGAGAATAGCAAGATGATTGGAGAAGTGGAGGTGGACAAAATCACAACACTGGAAAAGAAACACATAGAAGCAATTAAGAAGCTGTGGGAGGACCCAGGAATCCAAGAATGCTATGACAGGAGGAGAGAATACCAGTTGTCTGATTCGGCTAAGTAGTATGTATGATACCTGCAACATACTTCACGTTGCTATCAAGGGTTCTGGATCAGCTGTCTTCCATTTCCAGCTCATTCCTATATTTTGACATGAAATACATATCAGTCTGTTCTCATAGCTAGTTTTTTTTTAATTCTCCCCACCTTTGCTTTAATGTTATTAAGGACTGGATCCTTTGACTCCCTTCCACCAAGTCTTCCTTCCTTCAACAGAGAAAAACTTCCCTTAGGAGAAAAAGGTTCTCCATCGGAGAAAACTTTCTATATCAGAAAAAGCTTTTGAGGAAGGCATAGCAGAAGAGAGACTTGGGAGTCAACATAAGGGAGTAATAGGATTTGCCTCTATATAATTATCTTTTTATTGGCACAATATTGCTAAGCAATTGTTCGCTCTCCTAGTGAATGAAGGAAATAGTCAATGTATTTCTCTGCTTATATCCATCAGAAGTGAGTGATGGTTCTTGATCATCATGATGGGTTATTTTTGCTTGAATTGTGACAAATTAATTTTTAATAAAGGTGATTGAGTTAGGGCACAGTTTCACACTATGCATATTTTACAACTGGCCCATAAGTGTATCAGACTCTTTTTATTGTTGTCAATTTAAAATGGTGGCTTCTATTGTCCTTCATCCATCTGGCCCTAACTTTTATTGACACATTGTAGGTGTGCATGAGCTGGGATTGTTGTCAGATAAGTGTCACTGCTCCATTGGCTTAGCTGCCATGCTTTCCGTGGATTAGAGTAGCCCAGCCTAGATTCTTGCTTGTGAAGGACTGTGGATCTCATAGAATCTGAATTCTAATGTCAATGGGCAAAGTTCATTAAACCGTACTGATTGCATGCCACAAAGATGCATTTTGGGTGCAAAGTATTTTCCTGATTTCAGAATTTTTCTTATAATGGATGCCTCTTGGTTTCTAATTACAACAGCTCAGACCTTTTGCACGCTTCCATTGTACAATATTTATATTTACATTTTTTATAATAATCATGGGGTTGTTATAAGGACTGCAACAAATTAAATGTGAAACTGTTTGGAGACTAAAAGCATTACAGAAATGCTAAACATGAGCACATAATCTGAGGGAAATACACTGAAAATAGAACACTCACTTTCTTTTGCAGTTACCTTTCAGACATGGACCGTATTGCCATGCCATCATATGTGCCAACACAGCAAGATGTACTCAGAGTAAGAGTGCCAACTACTGGAATTATTGAATACCCCTTTGATTTAGAAAAAACGATATTTAGGTAAGCTTGATGATGTGAAGATAACAGGTCTATGGAGTCATAGTGATACCAAATAACCAGTTCAACCCTGCAGATATGCCCAGCTTTGCCAGCACGGGCAGTGCTGTAATATTCAATATGAGCCAAATGGGGCAAGTCTTTTGGCTTTATTATGGGCAGCATATGAAGTATATCAAGTATATCAAACTGATAGGATTGTCCAATCGAGTCTCTTAGGAAATTCCAATCTTATTCCATCTCTGCCATTATATTTTGCCATCTCCTTACCACACATGGCCTACGTAATTTGCCTTGAATGCTACTCTTGTATCACCCTTGTCATGAGTGGTAGTTACTGGTGCCATTTCATTGGTACATGCTGCTGTGATGCACCACCAACTTTTACCATAAGAACATAAGAGACGCCAATGTTGGATCAGGCCAAAGGCCCATCCAGTCCAACACTCTGTATCACACAGTGGCCAGAAATACCAGTGCCATCAGGAGGTCCACCAGTGGGGCCAGGACATTAGAAGCCCTCCCACTGTTGACCCCCCCAAGCACCAAGATGACAGAGCATCACTTGCCCCAGAGTCCCTATCTATACCTTGTGGCTAATAGCCACTGATGGACCTCTGCTCCATATGCTTATCTAATTCCCTTTTGAAGCCGTCCATGCTTGTAGCCACCACCACCTCCTGTGGCAGTGAATTCCAAGTGTTAATCACTCTTTGGGTGAAGAAGGACGTCCTTTATATAGGGGCATTATTATATTGGCTGATCTGTTTTCAATACCCTTCCTAATAATCCCCAGCATAGCATTGGCCTTCTTTATTGCAGTCACACACTGTCTCGACATTTTCAGTGAGTTATCCACTACAACTCCAAGATCTCTCTCTTGCTCAGTCTCTGCCAGTTCAGACCCCATCAATGTGTATTTATATTTAGGATTTTTGGCTCCAATGTGCATCACCTTGCACTTGGCCACATTGAACCCCATTTGCCATGTTGACGCCCACTCGCCCATCCTTGACAGATCCCCTTGGAGTGCCTCACAATCCTCACTGGTTTTCACCACCCTGAACAACTTTGTATCATCCGCAAATTTAGCCACTTCACTGCTTACTCCCATCTCCAAATCATTAATGAACAAGTTAAAAAGCAGTGGACCAAGTACTGATCCCTGCGGTACCCCACTGCTTACCACCCTCCACTGAGAAAATTGCCCACCTACACTCACTCTCTGTTTTCTATGAACTAGCCAGTTTTTGATCCATAAAAGGACTTGTCCTTCTATCCCATGATTTTTGAGCTTACTTAGGAGCCTTTGATGAGGAACTTTATCAAAAGCTTTCTGGAAGTCAAGGTAAATAATATCTATTGGATCCCCCTTGTCCACATGTTTGTTCACCCCCTCAAAGAACACTAACAGGTTAGTGAGACAAGATCTTCCCTTACAGAAACCGTGCTGAGTCTGCCTCAATAGGTTTTGTTCATCTATGTGCCTACTAATTCTTTCCTTAATAATGGTTTCCACCAATTTACCCGGTATCGACGTCAGACTGACTGGCCTGTAATTTCCCGGATCTCCTCTGGAACCCTTTTTAAAGATGGGAGTGACATTAGCTACCTTCCAATCCTCAGGAATGGAGGCAGATTTTAAGGAAAGATTACATATCTTTGTCAGGAGATCTACAAGTTCACATTTGAGTTCTTTCAGAACTCTCGGATGTATGCCATCTGGGCCTGGTGATTTTTCAGTTTTTAAGTTGTCTATCAGTTTTAGGACCTCCTCTCTCGTCACCTCAATCTGACTCAGGTCTTTCAACACCCCTCCTGAAATCAGTGGTTCTGGAGTGGGCAAGCACTTCTCATCTTCCACAGTGAAGACGGAGGCAAAAAATGCATTTAGCTTCTCAGCCATTTCCCTATCATCCTTCAATACTCCTTTTACCCCTTGGTCGTCCAAGGGCCCCACTGCCTCCCTGGCTGGTTTCCTGTTTCTAATGTATTTGAAGAAAGTTTTATTGTTGGTTTTTACGTTTTTTGCTATATGCTCCTCATATTCCCTTTTTGCCTGCCTGACCTCAGACTTGCATTTTATTTGCCATAGCCTGTGTTCCGTTTTATCAGCCTCACTGTGACTAGCTTTCCACTGCTTAAAGGAATTCTTTTTACTTTTTACAGCCTCCATTACTCTGTTTGTTAACCATGCAGGCTTTTTCCTATACCTGTTTGTGCCTTTCCTAACCTGCGGAATATATATTTTTTGAGCTTCTAGGATCGTAGTTTTAAATAGATCCCAAGCTTCCCCAATTGTTTTGACCCTTTCTACTTTTCCTTTCAGTTTCCTCCCCACGTGTCCCCTCATATCAGAGAAATTACCCCTTTTAAAGTTAAAAATGGTTGTGTGAGTCTTTTTGGCCAATTCTCTATTTGTACAAATGATGAACTCAACAACATTATGATCACTGTTCCCAAGCGGTGCAATCACTTTTACATCTCTCACCAGGTTTTGAGTGTTACTTAGGACCAAATCAAGGATCGCCTCTCCCCTGGTAGGTTCCGTGACCATCTGCTCCATAGCACAGTCATTTAGAGTGTCTAGAAACTCAATCTCTTTTTCCCGACTAGAACACATATTGACCCAATCAATGTGTGGGTAGTTAAAATCACCTATTACGACACAATGTTTTTGTCTAGCTGCTATCTTTAATGCATTCATCATTTTATAATCCTCCTCTATCTTTTGATCTGGTGGGCGATAACAAACTCCCAGTGTTAAGTTTCCTTTTGGCCCCCCTATTTCAACCCATAGAACTTCCAGAAGTGAATCCAATTTACTTAGCCTCTCAATCTTTCTAGACTTTATACCCTCTCTGACATACAGAGCCACCCCACCTCCAACCCTCCCCCCCCCATCCTTCCGATATAATATGTAACCGGGAATCACCGTGTCCCACTGATTTTCCTCATCCCACCAAGTTTCTGAAATATCCACAATGTCTATTTTTCCCTTCAACACCAAGCACTCTAACTCCCCCATTTTACCTCGGACACTACCATAGTTCTTCCACAATTCTTACAGTTGATTTGACTTAGCTTTTGGTTTTAAGAATTTAACCCTACAGTTCCAATTGACTGTCCACACAAGGTGGCTAGAATTCTTCTGATGTACACCATAAGTTTTTAGAGCTGATTCATCTTAATGTCATGTAGTAGGAAGGTATTCCTCTGAACCCTGTTGGCCTTTGCTGAGATAGTAATATTAGCATGGATACTTCTGGTGTGTCTAGTGGATCCATAAAGGAAGGTTATTCAATCAGTTTTAGTGGCAAAAATACTAATAACTAACCACTCGAACTCTTCCATAGTATTTTGGATCTTTAAATTCTGTGGTAAACTGATAGTAACATCAGATTAAGATGCTGATAGTACTGTCAAGTTAAGACAACATCTGAACAACTGCTGTGAATAAATGGATTATGTTACAGGAACACCATTCAGTGTTTGATAGCTATTTAGTACAAAGAGCAGTCTGCTGGTGTTTGGTAAAAGCCCTGGAAGTCTAGAACACTCAATTACTTATGCTTCTGTTTAACAGAATGGTGGATGTTGGTGGACAGAGGTCAGAAAGAAGAAAGTGGATTCACTGTTTTGAAAGTGTTACCTCCATAATATTCTTAGTTGCTCTAAGTGAATATGATCAAGTCTTGGCAGAATGTGACAATGAGGTAAAGGAAAGAGATGTTTGTTAGGTTGTTTCAGTTTTTTCCCTTTTGTACATTGTCTTCTAAGCCATCCATGTATACCCTCAAGGTTTTAATACTGAATGAGATCTGAGGTGTGTGGGGGTCATGTGAAGAAGAATGCAGCACAGAAGCCTGCATAAATATCACTCCTTGGGTAGTTTGGAGAGCTCAGTGGATTTTATCTTAAGTTGCTTTCCAGATGTGTAAGATACTCAGCACAGGGCTAACTGAGGGCCACATACTGCATTGATCCTGACAAAAGGTTGTTCCAGGCATTTCTAAGGGTGATTTGTATATCGTTGCAGTGGTTTTTTATTCTATAAGCTTAACATGCATTGCATTTAAAATATTTTTTAAAATAATTTTTTTAAAAAATGCTAATCACTTTTGCCTTACCGTGTTTCTCCGAAAATAAGACACTGTCTTATATTTATTTTTTCTCAAGAAGACACACTAGGGCTTATACCACAAATGCATAGAAATCCTGCTAGGGCTTATTTTGGGGGTAGCTCTTATTTTCGGGGGAACAGGGTAGTTACAATTAGGGTGTGTGTTTGGTAGAAAATCTGAAACACTGTCATCTGATTTGAGTATAAATGATCTGAACTTGGATTTAATTATTTTTTAAAAGTTTTGAGCAGCGGACTCTAATCTGGAGAACTGGGTTTGATTCCCCTTCACATGAAGACTGCTGGGTGACCTTGGGCCGGTCACAGTTTTCTTAGAACTCTCTCAGCCCCACCTTAGCTTACAAGGTGACTATTCTGCGGAGAGGAAGGGGATTGCAAGCCACTTTGAGATTCCTTAAGGGCTTGGAAAAGCGGGGTATAAAAACCAACTCTTCATCATCATGCTTCATTACAGTTTCACATTTTCCTTGCAGAATCGGATGGAAGAAAGCAAGGCTTTATTTAAAACAATTATCACTTACCCTTGGTTTCTGAATTCTTCGGTTATCTTGTTCTTAAACAAAAAAGATCTTTTGGAAGAGAAGATTATGCATTCCCATTTAATTACCTATTTCCCACAGTTCACAGGTAAATCAGCCCTTCTAGTTACCTTGTGATGCAAGCATTCTGAAGTTAATTTTTTGGTCTACATCAGTTCTGTTACACAGTGATAATTTTATTTAGCATTTATCCCTACTAATTGCAGGAGTATCTTATCGCTGTGCAAAAAACTTGCAAGGGAAGCATACAGGGCTAAGGTATATGTTTCTGTAAACTTGGAGTAATCTTAAGGCTTGTAGAAAAATTTGAACACTTTTTAAAGTGAGTTGGTGTGTGTTTCAAAGTTAAAAACAAGTCTGTACTTTCAGACTTTGTGAGGGGAAAAACACAATTAAGATGGCATTTTGGGTTAATGTAAAAACTCAAAATGGCGTGTGATTTTACATAGTCTCCATTGGTATCTGTATGTATGGAGGAACTAAAACATGTATGCATGTGTGGAGGAACCAAAATAAAGAGCGGCAAAGAGGATGACATTCAATGGAGCAGCAAGCACAAAAACCTGGAAGGAGTAGGAGAGGAAGTGGAAGCTGAGGGTGGAGGGAGGAAATGGGAAAGGAAATGTAACAGGGAAACAAGTAGTGGGCAATGGGGGAAGAAGTATAGGAGCAGGAGCAAATACTGGGGAATCAGGAATAAAGGTGGGGGAAGCAGAGACAGTATAGGGAGAAAGGCAATTGGGGGGGATTCCCCTCCCCTCCCTCCCCTCTTACTTATTGTCAATAATATTGCTGGCAGTGTATAACAGTAGTGCCATCCGGTCTTACATATTTGTCTGCCAGAGGCAATTAAGTCAGAATTTAAGTACAGAAGAAAGTCTTCGCTCTTGTGTTGCACTAGCAAAGCTGCTCTAAATAAATGGAAACTTTCCTCTCCTTGTCAGCAGTCTTCTGTGAGACCTGAAATTCAGGGAGGTTGAAATGAGAAGCTGCACTGGGGGGGGGAGGGGATTGGCAAAATCCACTCTCCTCCCAATAGAAAATAGGTTAGGATCCAAGCTAATCACTTGTTCTTACAGAATGCTTGAAAAAAAAAGCTAAAATGGAATAATTCTGCATGTGCCAATGAAAAGAAACACTTATTTGAAGATGGGGTTGACTGTGTATTGTAAAAATAATCCCTTTGTTGTTGAACAGGACCTAAGCAAGATGTCAAAGCTGCCAGAGAGTTTATTTTGAAGTTATACCAGGATCAGAATCCAGAAAACGAGAAAGTGATTTATTCCCATTTTACATGTGCCACTGACACAGAGAATATTCGATTTGTCTTTGCTGCTGTCAAGGACACCATACTGCAGCTGAATCTAAAGGAGTTCAGTCTGGTGTGAATAACGTGCAGATTTTGATCTTACTAAGCGACTTTCACCCTGGCTGTGTTAAATGCAACAGTAACACTAGCTAGTTCTGTGTACATGCAGCAGATGGTTTCTGTTTTTACTGACCTTGAAATATTTACTGAACATCAGTGGAACTCTAAATGTGATGTTTACATGTTTATAAACTTTTGAATAATTTCTTTTTAGATTAAATTCCTTTTTAGATTTTATTAAATTTCTTTTTAGATTTCTTTTTAGATTTTATTGACACACAGTTCTTTTTAGATTTTATTTTAAGATACATAGGAATTTTGGTTTTAATATTATTTAAGAAAAACTCTGTATAGGTCTTACCTGTATATATACCCTGTCCCATCCAGTTTGCATTTTTTATTATATTCTATAATAAGTCATGATCATATATTTAAACTAAACCAGAGATGCGTTCGGTATAAAATAGTGTGTTTAGAACTATTAGATCCTGTAAGAATGTTTGAGTAATGTATGTTATATAATAAATGCCATTCTTCAAATTTTTGTATTGTGTCGTCTAACACAGATATTTCATCTTCTTTGAAGCACAGTGGTCAATTAAAATCAAATCGAGCAGATCAAATGCAACAGTCTGCCAAATGAACAAGAAATGTGTTGTCTTAATGATTTTCTTCTTACCTAACTTCCAAAACTTCAACACTTGACACCATATTCAAAAGGCATAATTGGTTTCAGAAACTAATCTTCAGCTTTTCAGAAATAGCCAACATCTTGTTGTTCCAGAAACATCCAGACAATATAAAGCTTTTGCATTTGAGACACAATGTAGCAAGGTCAACTACTTATCAGATTATAACATGTTCAAGACCTCTTTGGGTTTACTTATGGTGCAAAGCCCATGGAAACCTGGGCAAAACTTGGTGTGCGGTCAGACTTGCATTTTAATCCACTGTTGCCCAGGCCCGTAGCTAATGTGGGGCCCACGGGGCCCGGCCCCCTAGCATTTCTTCCGGGCCCCCTCCTTTCCGGGCTGGCCCCAAATTGAATTAATGTTATTATTAGCTTTGATTTAATTAGCTGTACCCCCCGAGGCCCCCTCACCCCAAACTCCGTAGCTACAGGGCTGCTGTTGCCCCACCTCTAATCGATCCAGAGTATTTTGGAACAGAGAATACTAATCAGACTCACCCCTTTAAGCACTCTTCAAAGTGCTTTTACCCCATTCTTGAGTGATCAGTCCCAGCAGCCAAGGAGTATTGCCGTCGGCCATTTTTAAAAAGTTTCTCTCTTGAGCATACCCACAAGCACTGCTATGCCTCCTGGGATATGTAATTCATGGGGCCGTCGGCCATTTTTAAAAAAGTTTGTCCTGTGGGCATGCGAACAAGCACTGATCAGTGTGCTGGGACATGTAGTCTCCATCTCTCAACTTTTCAATTTACCCCTTCCCCAAAGCACAGGAAAAAGCTGAAGTACAGGGGAATTTTTATTTGAAAGATTTTATGAAGAAAACAAAGTTTAGAGCAGCCCCTGTGGGAGGGGGGAGAGGTGCAAAAATGCAGTTGAGCGCACTTCACTAACTAGTAAAAAAAAATGGCGGCTGAAAAACAAGAGACCAGTCAGACCTGCCTGATGGCTTGGGTGTGCAACAGAGCAATCAGACGACAGGAAATCCGGTTTTAAACCAGCTCAGCCCAAAAGGACTGGACTATCACAGATATCAAATAAACATGCAGTATGTGTGTGTGTGTGTGGACACACAGATTACTGGGGTGCAACAGACAGATGTTGCTGTTAGGGGTGTGCAGGGGGAAAAATAGCTTTTCCCCCTGGATTCGAATATATTTTACCCGAATTCTTTCGGGAAATCTGAAAAAATTGGGTCCATTATATCTTATGGGGCCATTGTAGTCAATGGCAAAAAACTTCTAACAGGTTTTCATGGAAAGGAGGGGGTTTGAGGTAGAGGCACCAAATTTGGACTGTAGCTGTGGGAGCTTCTCCCCAAAAGACCCCCAAAGTTTTGAAAAGATTGGACCAGGGGGTCCAATTCCAGGGGCATCTAAAGAGGGTGCCCCCAATTCTCCATTGTTTCCTATGGGGATGGGGGAAAAGCAGGCAGCATGTTTGTGCAGTGTGCCCCCCAGAACTAGTGCCACTGTACCAGTCAGTGCCCAAACCCAATTGGACTCAGTTCAGATCAGAGATTCTCTGCAGCATAAACTAAGAGAGCATGTTTGCCAGGCCAGCAGCAGCAGAACCAGTGCAATGTGGCCCCCAGAACCTGTGCCACTGTGCCAGTCAGTGCACAAACCCAATAGAACTCAGGTCATATCAGAGGATCTCTGCAGCATAAACTGAGGTGGCACCACAACCATAAGCCCTGCCCACTAATGCCTCAGAAAGTGAGAGGGAGGGGATAGTTTCTATCTGTCCACTGATCCTCCTCTCTCGCCAACACTAACACCAGCCATCACTGCCTGTCTCAGTGGAGGAGGCTTAGCCAAGGGGCGGCAGCTGCCCTTCATCACAAGCTCTCCCTCCCTTACCCACCTCTCCCCTGCAAAAGAAAATTATTTTTCAATAAACAACATTCATTTACATTCATTATTTATGGTGCTCCTGTGGGTTCTGCTGGTTTCCTAGGTGCGGCAGCTGTCCTTCATCACAGGTTCTCCCTTTCCCACCTCACCCCTGCAAAAGAAAATTATTTTTCAATGAACAACATTCATTTACATTCATTATTTATGGTGCTCCTGTGGGTTCTGCTGGGTTCTGGCTGCTTGGCATCTACCCTACTCTACCGTGTTCAAATGGAGAACAATTTTTGTGATACTGTGTTAATTTCAGCATGCAATTTTGTTCTGGGGTGGCTGTCAGTATAACTTAGGTGCATACACGCACCACCCTCAACATCACCCTGCACTGCATGGCTACCAGGGTTCTGTGGAGGTATTTCTGCTGCAGGTGGGATGGATGGAAGTGGGGAGATTGGTGGGGCATTTCTGTGCCAATCAAAATGGGAATGGCCCTGGCTGCTACTTCTCCCTAGCCTCTCTACTTTTAATCATGGTAAGAGCGTTGTAACCCAACTTCCCAGCACGGACTGAAAGGGGATGCAGGCACAAGTATGTGTGCTCACTTAAATCATCCTCAAAGTCTAGGACTGGGAAACTGAACAGTGGCAAGTTGACCTTCAGGAAGACCAACTGCTCAACTGACCAGGGGAGCTGGCGTGAGCGATGTGAGCAATGTCACCCGCATGGGAAAAAGACATGCTCACTCTGCACGCTCATCGGAGGGCATGAGAGGAGCTTCTGGGCCACGGCAGAGAGGTCCGGCCAGACTGCCTCCTTCATGGCCCAGTAGCTCAGTGGGCAGGTTGCCTGTGACTCATAGGGCTCTGAAAGGTACTCCCTCACCATTGCAGCCACTGTATCCTCTCTCATGCGCCTGCCGCTCCCAGGAGAGGGGCCAAAGATCCACCCGATAAGTGCCATCTCAACACTCATCATGGCAGCAGCCGTGGGGGGGGGGGGCGCTGCCTAGCAGAGGAGGTGGGGGATGAACAGCGGTGGAGCTGCTGGCACCCCCTCTCCCTCAGCTTGTGGCAACATGGCCCTCTTGGCCCGCATGTGCTCAACTTGCTGGGAGAGCTCATCTTGCCATTAAGTGAACTCGTTGGCCCGCTCGGTGATCCTGCCCTTGATGCACAGGTCATACATGGTCACCATCGTGTAGACCTTCTTCCAGAGGATAGACTGAAAGCGTTCCCCGAGTCTGCTTTGCAGCCTTCTCACCAGTGCACACACCGCTGGAACCATGTCTGCACATCCTGCAGCTGGCTCCAGAAACGAGGCCAAGTCCTCATGGGCCGTGTGGACCATGGGAATGACCAGAGCTAGACTTGGCATGTCAGATGAGAGCATTTCTGTGTAGCTCTTAAAGGGCTTAAGAATTTCCACAGTCTGAGAGATCGTCAACGAGTTCAAGCATGACACAGGTGGAGTTCCAGCGAGTGGTGAAGTCGCCAAGCAGGCAGTGCTCCGGCACGCCTGTCAGTGCCTGCTTCTCGCGCAACAGATAGATGTCCTTTGTACTGCAAGAGAAGTGACTCACAATGTACTGGCATTTCTGGAGGAGATGCCAGAACTCATGAGTCACAGCGTCCAGACTGGGATTCTCCGAAGAACCCAACCCCAGAGCACCCTTGACCACGAGGTGGAGAAGGTGGGCCACACAGTAAATGTGCATCAGGCCCTGTCGCTTTGTCACTGTCCTAATGTTCAAGCCACCACCAGTCACCATGAAGCCCCCAGTGACGTCCCTGCCTACCCACCCTGCTAACTGTCTCTTGATGGTGGCCTTGATGTTGTCTACCATGTGCAACCCATTGAGTTTTTCGATGTGGAGCAGAGCCTGGCAGTAGCTGGCCCGGTGGCCCTGACCCTGCCTGACACTAGTTTCCCCTCCTCCACCCAAAACTTCGCTTGGTTGCCACCAGTGTGCAGTCAACAAAAGTTATGAATCATGTGTCTGACAGGAGGTCCAGAAGTCAGATGTGAAGTGCACATATCTCCCATGAGCATGGGACAACTGTGCTTTCACGTGGTCTTTGGCAGCCCTGTACAATGAAGGCATCACGGTCCTGCTCAGCGTGGTGCGAGCAGGGTGTGTGTATCAGGGACAGGTATCCCAGAGCAGCCTGCAGAAACCAGTATCTTTAATCATGGAGAAGGGGCGCCCGTCTAGAGCAAGGATCTCTGCAATGAGGCAAGTGACCCTCTTGCTAGCCTACTGCTTCGCGTCCCTGCCCCGTCTCTACCGTGGAACGAGCAGAGAGAGTGCTGGAGGTGGTCACAGGATGACTCACCTCCTGGCTGGCTGGTGCTGGCTGCTTGGGCACCCCAGCAACAGCCTGTCTCCCCCCCCCTGAAGAAGCACTGCCTGGTGGTGCTTCTTCAGATGGTTCCGTAGCCCGGAGGTTCAGAGATGGGTGATGTCCTTCCCTCAACTTACCCGGGCCCTACACAGCTGGCACTGTGCAAAGCAGGGATCCTCTGTCACCCGGAAGTGGTTCCAGACTTCAGAGGTGAAGGGGCACCCACACTGAGCAGCAGCCATGGGCATCCACGGAGCTGCCTCCTGTGAGGAGCTCAGGCCAAACACACCGTGTCTTTGGAGGGCAGGAAGAGATGGCTGAGCAGGGGTAAGGGGTTGAGATGGCAGGTGCTTGGGGTGCACCACCTCCATTTCTTCCTCTTCCTCCTCTCCCAGCCTCTCCTCCTGTCCCTCAGGAGGCCTGCTAGAGCCTAAAGAAACCGGAGCAGTGGGCTGGCCAGCCAGCTCCTCCTCCAGTGCCTCTAGAACTCTTAGTCCATGGAGTGAGCTCTGAAAACAGACTGTCCCCAAAGCTCAACCCCAAAGACAGCTCTGGCTGCACCTCCTGCCCAGTGCCAGCACTTGCAGGCACCTCTGCTGGGGCCACCCCAGGAGCGTCCTTCTCAGGGAAGAGAACCAGGCGTGGCTTCTTCATGGCACCACTCCGGCCAGAGGTCGGAGTGGTGCCAGGATGCTGTTGTGGTCCTGCACTGAGGTGGGGGGAAAAGCGAGGCTCTCCCCCTCCTCCTCCCTAGTCTTCTGCTTAGCCTTGCCCCCAGGGCCCCTCTGTGTTCCCTTCCTGTCGCTTATGTTGCCCCTCACCAAACTCAGCCTAACTTGTGGGGAGGGTATTAGGCACCTAACTTACCTGCACTATCACCTAACCCTAAAACAGCCTCACACCTTTTTATAAACCTTCCCACCCAAAAACTAGGTTTTTGTTTCTTTCAGTAGAGCCTAACCTAATCTTGCTTCAGTTTGGATTTTCATTTTTTTTCTTGGTTTGTTATTTTTAGAACTAGTGAATTCCTACACTGACTCTGACTATGCTTTAAAGACTATCCTTGAGATGTGGCTTGGAAACCTTTTAAAAAGTTTTAGCATTTTAATAACTACTATCCAGATTCTACTGGAACCAGCTTGATTCCCTGTGGAATGCAGGAGGTGCTCCCTAATTGAAACACACAAGCTAAAGGGGAAAAGTGCCTGGCTTCACCAAAGTTCAGTCAGAGCACAAATAACACAGCACACATAACTTTTTAAATAAGTTATACGCTACTTAAACCTCTGTTTTATGAGGTGGACAAACCTAGCCTCTTTTTGTCCTCCTAGCACTGGCCTCGTTAAAGGTAGAACAGCTAAAGCCCTATACTGAGATTTATTTTAAAATATTAGTTAAAAATAATCCTGAAACCTTTATTAAACGCCTATTTAACAATGGCGCAGCAGCTAAACCAGAAGCACACACACAGCAGTGACCAGTGACCCCTATACCTAAGAAAGTGAAAGCCAAAAGTCCACACAACAACAAAACCTGCTAAAAGGCACAGTGACAGAACCACTAAAAGGCAACAGAAGGCCTAGTAACCCTCCCCAAAAAACCCCCAACAACAAGCCCAGCAAAGAGCAAAGACAAACAATACAAGGAACTTAAAAAATTGAACCTGCAAAAGCAACAGAACCAAAGGACAAACAGGAACCAAACCAGATAACCTAGGCCCCAGGCCTACTCACTAACCCCCCCCCCCCAGAAAAAGCCCCAACAAGCAGCCAATAAATTAAAATGAAGCACAGTAAAAAAAAAAATAAACTGAAAAAACAAACAACAGGCTGGCAAAACCACAAACTAGAAGAACCCTCCCCCCTCCAAAAACAAACAAACCAGGAAGAGGCCTGAGAGGCCCTAAAGGCCTAACCACCACCACCCCAACCCCAGGCCCAACCCACAATAAATAAAGAACAGTTTTTAAAAGTGGCCCTAATATAATTTCAAGCCAGTGATGTCTTCAGTCTTCTTCTGTTGTCTTGATCTGAAGTCAGCAGCGCAGCAGCAGGAAACTGAGGAAAGCTGACTCAGAGCAGTGGCTGAAGCAGCAGAAGCAAGCCAGCCACACAATCTCCAAGGCTCTCTCAGCAGCGGCAGCAGCAGCAGCAGAAACAGAATGGATTCAGGCAGCAAGGACCCCTGCTTTTATGCTCTCTGGGCATATACAGAAGGATTTCAAATAGGAACAAACTTCTGTGATTGGCCAGAGAGCAGTATGCCAAATCCTATTGGCCAGTTCTTCTTCCCTGGGGAAGCTAATACTTGGGTTTCCAGCCGCAACAACATTCTTGCAAAAAGTTGCAAGCTGCAATGGCATTTGGAAATGCATTCCAGTGGTTGGCTGTCTGGAAGGTCCCTTTGTTGTTCAGAAGCTTACTCACATTTTATCGGGGAAATCAGCTGAGAGTCAGTTCTAACCACACCAACTGCAGCAAAACAGCTAGGCAGTGAAGTTGCAACAGTAATAGGAGGAAAAGCACACTCCTGTTCATATTAGGTGGGGTCAAAAGCAAAGCTTATGATCTCTCTTCTTTGAAGAAACCAGCTCTTTCTGTGGCATTTGCAAATTCTTTTGATTTTTGCATTACAAAAGTCAGAAAAGTGTCAAGTTAAGGTTGACATAAAAATCACACCTGAGCATACAGAGGTGCCTTCTAGGGTTGCCAGCCTCCAGGTGGGGCCTGGGGATCTCCCGCTTTTACCACTGATCCCCAGCCGACAGACATCAGCTCCCCTGGAGAAAATGGCTGCTTTGAAGGGTGGACTCCATGGCATTGTACTATGCTGAGGCCCCTCCCCTCCCCAAACCATGCCCTCTCCTGGCTCCACCCCCAAAGTCTCCAGGTATTTTCCAGCCCAGACTTGACAACCCTAGTGCCTTCCCATAAAAGTGTACTTACAGTTGTCATGTGATAATGTTTTGTAAGCACAATTGTATAAAAGTAATACAGAAATAGCATTCTTATGTATTTGCCTGCTATCAGGTCTGTGTATTGCTGCTACCTATGGGAAGGGGGTTAAGAATACAAGCCTTTGGCTTTTGTTGAAAGACTGTGAAGTGGTTAAGAAATCAAGCTAGATATAAAAAATAATTATCCCAAAGCCAATTTGCTAAGATATAGGACTGAATTTTTGTATTCTAACAGCTCCGGAAATTTCCTAGCAGCAGCTTTTGTCTGTGTGGCCTTGCCAAGTTTAAGAATAACATAAAAATGCCTGGTTTAGCAACTGGTGGTGGTGGGGTCTCATTTTTTCAGCCTGTATATGGTTCTGGCAGATGTACAGGATGTTGGAAAGCCATGATCACAGACAAAAGAAAAAGAAGACTAACTTAAGCAGACTAAGGCCCAATGAAATATTTATTTTAGATATTTAGAAATAGTCACATAGTTGGTCGGCAACTAAGGCATGGCTGAAAGTGTAAATGCTCAACTTTGATAGGATATCCAGTTAAATCAATGAAGCTAGGCAGATTTCACATTCTTGAGTCACATAACACAACCTCTACTTTGGCATTTCCAGCAATGATTCATTTAATTTACATTTGATATAGCAAAGAATAATGTGTTAAGAAGAAAACTGCAATGACTGTAACCAGTGGAGGTGGTTACCTAATGGAGCAAGCAAGACTTTGTATAGATAAATACATACAATTACAGTTTGGCATGCCATTTATACTTTAGCTTTTACAACAAAGCTACAGTTTGAGTAGTTCAAGGACCACCAGCAATTTCAGAAGGACCAATTGCACTAACAACATGTGCCCCCAGCAGTTTGGGAAGAATATTCTGGCAACAGATACCTACTACATGCATCAAAACCATCCAGGGTCTTCAAATCTGAATTAGGCATTACTTTTACATGTATTTACTTTGCTTTTCCCTTTCACAAAGCAGCTCATCCCGATAGCCATTGGTTTACAGGCATTACTGAATAGCCTAACATATTCATATTTATAAAACATTGTGTTTTTGCAACCCCCCCCCCCCCCCCCATGAGGTCCAGTAATTGTTAAGATTTTTTGCAGGTCTGCATGAAAAATATGTTAAGAATCGTCTATCATTTAAACTGAAATCAAGTGTTAATTAATTATCTCTATGGTATTTTCTATTAAAGATGATGCACTTATCATAGCTTACAATTGGCTTACAATAGTATATTAACCAAAGGAAACTTTTGAGTAAAATACTATTTCAGAACATACTGCCTAACATGATTTTTGTTACTCTGTTGATCATGAGAAAGTAAAGACCATGCCATTCAAAGCATTACTGCAAAGGCACATCTCTACCCAGGTCATAAGTAAACACAAAATAAGTACACATCTTTGTATGTGTACATCCACTATCATGAGGCACCAGAACCCTTCGCTTTTTTATAATATAAAAAGTGAATGTTAAAAATGATACTACAGTACCACAAATTGTTTATTTATATAAAAAACTAAATAACCTCATGATATATAGTAGTAAATAAAAAGATTTCTTTTGAGTTAACTGGTCAGCAAAGTAATTCGAAGTATAAGAGCAGTGCTGGTTAAATCAGTCATTCCCTGAAGAATTTAACTGAATTTCAGTAAATATTTGTGTGTGATGTGGCAATGGTAGCAAGATAAAGACCCAATGAAAATGGACAGAACTAAAGTGTAAATTTTAGAAACAGAAATTATTACCACATAAAATCACAAGATTGTTTTAGGCTTTAGTCTCTGTAGATTGTGGCAGAATAAACAGAATTTTTTTATAAATAAAAGTTAAGTAAGCCAACATTTGGCAGAGGTTTTCAGCTGTAGAACAGTTTGCATTACACTGACGAAGGCAGCCTTTTTCACTCTGCTTATGTAGAAGATTCAATATCATTTTTGATCATTCATCTAAATCCAATAACCTTTGTATTCAAAACAGCATCAAATTCCAAGCAGCAGTTGAAATTAAAGTAGTTTGAATTGTGCAGTCCATTTTATGTGAATCTTAGGATCTTGAACAGGTAGCCATCATTGACTGTGGCTCTCTCTTACTTCTTCCAACTTAGACAGGATCCACTGTGGAAATTCAGGAGGAAAATTGTTTTAAAAATATATACCTTCATCTAAATATTTAACACAGAAACTTTGCCCAACAGATAATATACCTATACATTGACAGCACCTCAAACTTTTCAACGTACACTCAGCAAACTGTTCATTTCACATGGTGATCTTTGTCTTCTTGTGTCCTCAAAACAATGCAATGAGAACCATAAGGAAAATATTTGCATTGTCTGTACACTGCCTCTAAGGTTTTAGGTCCCTGAGAGTAGCTGATTGTGTAGCACAACAACTCAAAATGCCTTGACCCAGGTTCTAATTAATCTCACCCCTTATTTGGAAGGGACTTAGAAATGAAGAAAGCAAGAAGCTTCCTTATTGATCAATAACTTCTAGCTAAAAGCTAGCTGAACAGGGGTGGGAAGAGACCTGAAACTTTCAGAGCTGCTCACACAGAAAAAGACTAGTGTCACACTGTAAACTTCACAGACCGTTGTTGTCTATGGCCACAGACTGGCACCTCTGTGCCTATGCTGAAATCCTTCGTTCTGGAAAATGGAAATAAAAAACTGTTCAATTTTATACCAAAAGTAACTATAATGACTGTATTACGACTGTACCTACTTGATAGTGTACAAACTCAGTAGGTTTCCTAGTCCTGAACTATTGGTTCCCACAAAAAAATCAGCACATTTTCTTGCTAGTGCTCTTTGATCTGTAAGCTAAGTAACTGTAGGCTAAGGCACCTCTATCAGCTCTCACCCTTCAAAAGAGACATTTCATCTGTATATCAACATGAAAACAGGATTAATGATGCAGGATTTAATTACTTCCAAGCAAATATATTTCAGTCATGATAACAACATATAAATATCTTTGGTCTGTGCTACGCACCTTGGCATCTTCTGACGTTCTAAAATTAATTATTTTTCCAAATTCTTTGGCATGGAATACAGATTTAACTCGCTCCTACAAAATAAAGTTGCTCATTAAAACAGAAAATCAGCTTTTCAAAGTAAACAGTCTTGTGTTTTTACCTTTCTGGCATAAGAGTTCATACTTAAAACGATCTGAAGTTTCTTAATTTTTTTTTCTTTTTTACAGATCTTGGCTTACAATACTATATTTTAATTTTATATGGGGTACAGAAATAGAAGAGGGGTGTGAGGGGGAAAGAAAAGTAAACATAAGGCACTTTTTTTACAAATACTAAAGTCAATATAAATGTGAATGAATTGATAGGTCTAGGTAAATCACTATAACATTATAGCATTACCTATAACACTGTTTCCCAAAATACATTATTCGCTATTAACACTATGCATAATTTTAGTTCATTCATCCTTTCCACTGATTCCATATTACATTAATTGAAAATAATTTACTTAAAACATTTCTACTGAAACTCTTCAAGCCCCCTACCTAATAAAAACAGAAAGCTATAAACAATTTTAAAAGATAAAATTACTGGAAAAAGTAACAATAGAGCAGTAGAAGAATTAAAAAATCAACCATTAGTAGCAAATTGCAGCAGAACAACACAAGCAGTTCAAATAAAAATGCTTTAACTTAATATCAAAAAATTTTCAGCAAAGAATTATCTGAACAACAGGGGAGGTAATTCTGTAAGTGGGATGCCAGCACTGCAAAGGTTCTAGCCTGGTCACCACCTACCTACCGTCTGAGCAAGGGGCAGTGACAGAGATTGAGATAGGAGCAGGCAATTCTGCAGGTATCCTGATCCAAAGCCACTCAGTGTTTAGAGCTCTGTAGGAATTCTAGAACACTGAAGTGAGGACAGGATCAAAGAGCTCTCACAAGTGATGAGTTCAGTCCTTAGTTGGGAGTGCTACCTCACTGTTGCCCAAGAGCCACAGGAGTACAGAGACCATATGAATACCATAGGATATAGGGGAGATATCACACTAGGGGATCCTGCCATTTGCAAACTCCATCTTAAATCAGTTCCAGACTCTGTCAACTTCAAGGAAGTCATTTAGAATTCAATAATTGTATCACATCTAATCAGGCCCGTAGCCTGCGTGGGGCCCACGGGGCCCGCCCCCCCGCTGATTTTGCGGGCTCCCTCCCCCATCCTCTTCTCCCCCTCCCCCCTGCCCATTGCTGCCGCCGCACTCCAATGTCAGGGGAGGGCCGTCGCCAGTCAGTCAGTGCTGCTCCTCGCCAGCCAGCTCGGCGGAGCCCCCTGGGGGGAGGCATCGAGGGCCTGACGTTTGCTACCCCCTCGCCCAGCCGGCATATAAAGGCGGGCCAGGCAAGGCGGAGGAGGTATCGCCGGGCTCCAAGTTCCGCCAGCAGTCGCTGCCGCCGCCCAGTTCCGGCAGCCGCCCAGTTCCGGCAGCCCCCCCGCCGTCCCCTCGAGGCAACATGGCATTGCGCG